GGCCTGGGGGAGGGCGCTGGGGGGGAGGGCGGCCAGAGCGCCGGGGGGAGGGCGGCGAGCCGGGCCGTGGCCCCGCTCTCCCTGGGGGCCGGAGCGCCGCGCCGCGCCACCCCCCTCCAGGTGCCGCCCCAAGCACAAGCTTGGTGGGCTGGTGCCTGGAGCCGGCCCTGTTCCCACTTCCACAAACAAATAGCAAGGTTCGGTTTGGGAAGCCCTTTGTAAACAAACCTCTGCAGATCTCTCTCAGCCCCAGTGCAATGGAAAAGCTCCACAGGTCTGGCAGCTCCCTGACTGGCTCCTAATACAGCTGCTCCGGGGAGCGCCCAGTGCTCTGAGACAATCAACTCCAAAGCGCTGGCAAATGCAGCAATGTGCGGCAGGCAGGCTCAGTGCAAAGGCTACCAGACTTGTGGGGCTCCTACCACCCCCAGCCAGGCACTCCAAAGGGAGGGGGCTGGGCCATGGACCAGAGCTAGCTGAGCAAGGAGGGAGCACCCGCTGTCTCATCCTTCTGGATCACACACCTTGCACACTCTTCATGCTACGCAGCCCCCAGGAGATGTTTCATGAGCCCTACCAGAGCTTACCCTTGAATAGCGCAGCTCCACGGCACATCTAGTGGGGGGCGCATTGTGTTACTGCCATGAGCTGGCCTCTTGGCCAGCCAGGGACATTGTCAGTGTGAAGAGCACTGAGTAAGCGGTCAGTGCTCAATAAGCCAGCAATTAGGTAATGAACAGTCCTTACCCAGTATTTTGCAGGCTTCTTGGATCAGCTTCAGGGTAATAGCATCATCATACACAGTGTAAGTCATGAAGGTGTCTTGGACCTCTGCCTGTGTTCTGACAAACACAGAAAATTAAGATTTATGATGACACAGAAGTGTACGGGGAGATTTTGGCAAACCAGTAAAGTACCTGAACCCACTATGGCTAAAAGCAGCCAAGTCAGCAGGCCGTAAAGTGGCCATGTAACAAGCTCAGCTTGACCAAGGCAGGAGGGGAGGGGGTTTTGGGTGCCATAGAAAAGGCAGCTTGACCCCGCTTCCTTCCTGATAAGAATTGGGTTGAAGTTGCTGATACATGCATTTTAGAAGAGCAGGATGTGCTCCTGGAATGTCTATTGGGGTCTCAAGGCTGCAAACTCTGGAAAAACCCACTCATGGTTAATCAATAATGAGAAGGAGCCTCTTGCTTGACCATTGGAACTGCTTGCTTAACAAGTTTTCTTTAAGGGACATGTCATTCTATTACTAATATATAAATAAGGGGGAAAAATTTGAGGTAGTGGGACTCTTCAGGACTGGACTCTCCCTCTAGATGCACCTTGTGTTCCCCACTGGCAGATGGGCTGCTGCTGTGCCACTCAAGAGTCACACTCAGCTTTGGTAATTATCGAGGGTTGGGGGTGTTCTACTAGGGTTACCATATTAAAACATTTAAAAAAGAGGACACTCCACGGGGCCCCGGCCCCACCCCTTCCCCGCCCCCACCCCAACTCCGCCCCTTCCCCGCCCCGGCCCCGCCCCAACTCCGCCCCCATTTCAACCCCTTCCCCAAAGTCCCCGCCCCAACTCCGCCGCTGCCCCCTGAGCGCCTCCTCCTTCCTCCCAGCCACGCGAAACAGCTGCCCGAGCGCTACCGGCTTCACGGTTTGCCGGGCAGCCCCCAGACCTCCAGACCCTGCACAGCTGGAGCCCAGGAGGGGAAGCGCCCGGCCGGGGGCGCAGGGTCTGGAGGTCTGGGGGATGCCCGGCAAACCATGAAGCCGGTAGCGCTCGGGCAGCTCGGCTCTTCAGCTGCACAGAGTTGAGGTGTTCGGGGGGAGCTGCAGGCGGATTCCCCCGTGGCGGCGGCGGCGGCTGTAGCTCCCCCCAGACACCGCAGCCGCTCTAAGGTAAGGAGGGGACAGGGATGCCGGCAAAGCATTTTCCCGGACATGTTCGGCTTTTTAGCAATTCCCCCCGGACGGGGATTTGAGGACCAAAAAGCCGAACATGTCCGGGAAATATGGTAACTCTAGTTTTACTAACCTGTTGCGGACGCGTGTAAGTGCTTGAGACTAAGTAAAATTTAGCTTTAAGTGAAAGCACTCTTGTGTTGTCCTGTTTGTGTCAGCCATCTATCAGTGGGACGGCCATGTCTCCCCTGAATTATTTCCTGACACCACCTTGCATAGAGTAAAAGTTACCAAGAGCTTTGGGTTGAAAGAACCCCGGGTAACAGAAGGGAAACCACTCAGACTGGTCACTGCCTGAAACCAATCCATCCATCAACAGAGCTTTAATCCAGTGAAACTAGACCAGAGTTACTGAGAGAGCAGGTTCCAGCATATTCGAAATCTCCATATGGTTATGTGAGCAAGTCCCCAAGAAGAAACTGCAGCAGCAAAGCAGAAAGTCACTGAATGGTCCCATTTGTTCCTTGGCACATGAGCCTAGAATTTTCTGGAGTGGGGTCTGAAGGGGCACAGAATGCAAGGGAATAGTTCCTCTGTGCTGGCCATAAGCAGTCTGGTTTTTAAAACTTAAAAGCAGGTGCAAGAAGATAGTCACATGGTCAGTGAGGAAGGAAACTGTATTAATGCTTAATATTTTAGAGAAGGGGCTTCACACCAGTTCATCCTAGGCCCTCTCCTCACCAGTGCAGAGCTAGATGCTAGTTCTCTAGGGAGGGGGGGACAGGAGAAGTGGGTAATCGCTGACCGCTCTGGTTAAGAAAACAATGCAGAAACCAACAAACAATTACTATATTCAAAATATCTTTGTAGCTACCATGATTAGGTATGTATCATAGTAGCAGCTAGCGGCCCTGAGTAAGATCAGGGCCCTGTTGTTCCAGGCACTGTATAAGCACATAGTAAGAGATAGTTCCTGGCCTGAAAACCTTGCAGCCTACATAGACAAAGAGTGAGAAGAAGATAATAATCTGCCTATTTTAGAGGTGGGGAACACAGGCACAGAGTAAGGACAAGATTTTCAAGAATTCTGCACTTTGGGTGCCCAATTTAAAGACACTTCAACGGGGCCTGATTTTCAGGTGTCTCAGGTTGCACACTGAGAATCGCTACTACCTTTTGGAAGATCTTGGCCTAAGTGATTTGACTATGGTCACATACGAAGCCTCTGGTAGAGGGTAAGATTTGAACCTATGTCTGCTCAATCCTAGCCCGCTGTCTTACCCACACAACAAGCCTTTCTCTCTTAGGGAAAACTCTCTGTGTAAACAGGAGCTAACATCACTCCCCTCCATAAATCAGCCAGTAGCAGTAGGCACTGGGAGTACCTTTCCAGGCCCTGAAGAAGAGCTCTGTGCAGTTTGAAAGCTTGTCTCTCTCTCTCAGAAGTTGGTCAGTAAAAGCTATTATCTCACCCGCCTTGTCTTTCTAGTCATGGTATCAGGCTGATTTGTGTGACATGCGCAGTACATTCAATGTTCTTCCCAATCCAGCCACCAAGGATTGGTTTAATTTGCGTTCCTGACTTTTACTGTCGGTTTAGTGAGCACCATACATTTGCTCAGCTCTATGCAAACAATAGAGAAAGAAACAGTCCCTGTCCTAATGGTCTTTCAGGCTTCTCCAGTGCTTTATTTGGGATCACGGATTAGTGTTTGCACTTGTTCCTCCCTTTCTGCTCATTCTCCAGAGTGTTAAGCATGTCTCCTGTCCTCTATTCTGTCAACTGCTATACAGTAATCCACTACACTGGGAGATCTTTAGAGTATTGTATCACTTCACAGGATGCATTAGCATTATTGTATATGAGTCCTGTGTGGCGAACATTTAAAGCAAAACCATTTTAGTAGCTAATAGTGGAAAATTGGAGAACAGTCCGAATGACCTGGGTATTTCTGGCAGGCCTGCAGGCACAATGCAAGTAAATTCTGAATGATAAAACTATTATCAGCTCAACATAAGAGGAGTTGCCAGATTTAGACAATGATGTATGTGAGACCCAACATAAGCATGTGTGTGTGCTGAAGAGAGCCAAAAAACCTCTGTAAATGTCACAGTACACTCTGCTTCGCTAGAGCAGACATGATAGGCCACGAAGCTGATTCTTGGATCTTTGTGCAAATTGTGATAGTTCAAACTTGCATCAAGAGCCCTGTCTATTATTTCAAATCAACTTCTGCTCCCAGTTACACCAGTGTACATAACTCCAAATTTACACCCATGTAACTAAGTTAATTTGTCTGTGTGTCTCATCTTCATATTAGGTCAAGCAGCACTTCAGGTCGATGTGAATGTTTTTCAAGGGAATGGAAGTGCATGCCATGCAAACCACCTAATAAACAACCACCTGATCTATCATTGCAGAAACTACAAGTGTGAGAATTCACTATTAATTTTTCCACTAGTATAGGCATTTCTATGGTGCTCATTGCTGTGGTGTTTTATAATTTAGTACTCTTAATGAACAAGACCACTTCCAAAGACAAGGTAATGAGCTCTCTTAATAATACACTGTAAAGCTTATGAGTGTTTCTCCCTTATTATATATTTATTCTTTGTGATCTCTTAGCATGACTATTCCTCCTAGCTATGAAATAGGGCTGTAGGGAGGTAACCTGCATGAGATTTCTGTTATGGAGGCTTTCCCATTCATTCCATTGGGGAAGATGTGATCACCACTCCCTAGTCACGAATAGCCCAGCATCTGCTTAGACCTTGGGAGATCTGCTAGAGGCCCAGCACAGGATCGTTTGCATGGAGACCCTGTGTCTCTGCACTGGCTCCAAGTCCTGGTTCCTCACTCTCTACCCCATGGCCACACAACTCTAGTGGCACAGCGCTATGAGGGTTGCCCCTGTCCACCACTGCCTCTGGTGCTCCTCCGCCACACAAAAGAGGAAAGGCTGTGGAAAGTCAATAAAACAACCCGAAAAGTGGCTCGCTATAAGCTATTTAAGCTATAAAAAGGGGGGAGATGATAGAGGTTTATAAAATCATGACTACTATGGAGAAAGTAAATAAGGAAGTGTTATTTACTCCTTCTCATAACACAAGAACTAGAGGTCACCAAATGAAATGAATAGGCAGCAGGTTTAAAACAAACAAAAGGAAGTATTTTTTCACACAACGCACAGTCAATCTGTGGAACTCTTTGCCAGAGGATGTTGTGAAGGCCAAAACTATAACAGGGTTCAAAAAAGAACTAGATAAGTTCATGGAGGATAGGTCCATCAATGGATATTAGCCAGGATGGGCAGGGTGGTGTGCCAAGCCTCTGTTTGCCAGAAGCTGGGAATGGGCGACAGGGGATGGATCACTTGATGATTACCTGCTCTCTTCATTCCCTCTGGGGAACCTGGCATTGGCCACTGCTAAAGACAGGATACTGGGCTAGATGGACCTTTGGTCTGACCCAGTATGGTCGTTCTTATGTTCTTATTTACTGTTGCCTAATCCAGTGGGTAAAAAACCAAGTCTTGCTCTTCCATTGAAATTACGTGGGGCTAGTTTTACAATATGTGATAAATGACATTATGATACACTAGAAATGAATTACCCGAGGGAGAAGGTTAAGGTGGCAGAAGTTAAGGGCATTATGCATCTCAGGGGCAAATCGCTCTCTGGTGTAACTCCACTGGCGTTAGTAAATAACATTTTGGATGAATTTGCCTCTCATGGGCTCTGTTCTGATTTATGCTGAACACCACTCCCTCGGCTGCAGCAGGGATGTAACTCAGCCCAGAATTTGGCACACTCGGCTCATAATTAATTGTAGCAGTGAAACATAGAGCTGTGTGGGCCTGAATTGTATTTATAATGGTCAACAGGACACAGTCAAATTTTAATCCTCTTTGGCGCCCAGGATGGAAGCCCCAAGTCACCAGTACTGTGCTTTTTAAAGGATCAAATACTTACTTGAGTTTTTCCCATGTCTCTTCCCCAAATTTCTCTATAACTAGAGATTTCAGGCAGGTGTTGATAAATCCGTACTGTGGGAGAGAAGACATTAGCATTATGCCTAATGGAACATGGGAAAAGAGCCCTTAATGGGCTGGTTAAGTAAAATGAAATGACAACCCCTTTGGGGAAACAATTATGTCTTTTCCCCATTTCTTGTTAAGTTTGTTTATTTAATAGCACTGTTCATTCCTGCCTTCATGCAAAACGCCCCAAGACTTGTTCTCTACACAGAAGTAGTTCTGGTTTCCATAGAGAAAACATATTAACTAAGCTTTAAAGCCAGCATGCACTTAAGGATGGTTACAGAATGTTGTTTTCAGTTACTCTGAATTCTTTTGGCTCATGCAGCACTGATATGGTTAAAAGATAGGTTAAAGCGGGAAATTAATGGCGCTTATGTCAGCCTGAAGACTCGATTGAAAGACAAATATATTTTAGTAGTAAAACACAGTATAGTTAGTGTTTAAATCTGATTTGAGAAACTAGGTATTGAACATAAAAAAGAAGAGTAATGCTGAAAGACGCTTACCATGGTGCTGCTGTCTGCTCGCCGATTGTGCAGGGCAGGTGCTCTAGGTTGTGCTGGAGTGAGTGAGTTGTTTCATCACACCAGCCGCGCGAGTCTGGTTTTTTTTAACATATCAACTTGGACTGTGTAGAGCCCATCGCACACAAAACAGAAAGATCCACAGGGAAATCAGAAACTAATCATTTACCCGGCCATGTATCTCTCCAAGCAGAGCTTAGCATTACAGCGCAGAAAGTCCAGCACTGAGATAATCAGAGGAAAAGTGGGGTTTAGGCTGAGGTGGAAATGACTATTTTAATGTAAAATCCTGAAGCTGGTCAGCTGGCTCAGCCTCTCACGCAATGTACTTGAACTACAGATTCAGGGAGTTTGCTGATCATTTGTTTAAGCCCTGTCCATATAGGGATCAGTGCTATCTGTTTGTATCTGTCTTAGGTGCCTTAGAAATGCCTGTCACCCTAGTATCCAAGTGCCATGCAATAACCAAAGATAGCAGTGAGTGTGTGCCTGTAAGGACAGTAGTTTCAATCTCCCCTTACCCTGGTCCACGCTGGGTCTATTTGTTCCTTCAACTCTGTCTAGTCTCACCATATCAATGGAATGACTCCAGACTTACATTGGCGTAACAGAGATCAGACTCTGGGCCCTTAAATCATACTTGGATGTGTAATAATAAGTTTGAAATCTTACCCGAGGAAAGAGATGAGTGATGAGATCTTATCACAAGAAAATGTCCATCAAAAATGCCGTGCTGCCATGTACAGGCAGCCCCTGTCAGATAATACAGTTTATGGATGATGAACAGATGTAGCCAGAGGTACTTTTGAGAATGTCACAGCAGCAGCATTTCTAATATTGGCGTGTCATTCCAAGAAGTGTTGCTTATCCTGAGGTGTCCCTATGGGAGCATCAGTAAGAAATAGCTTCCCTACAGGGATGGGGTGATCAGCAGGAAACTTGTGCCAAGGGAGTAGAAATCTTACAACGCTGCAGGATAGGCTGTTGTTAGTATTATGTTGCTCACACAACTTGCATTTGCAATCTTGACAATTGAAGCTATGGCCTGAATCAAACCTGTTGTCAGTGAGTCTAATCCCATGGATATAAATGCAATTGCATCTGCCTCCGCTAGCTCTGGATTTGGTCTTACAGGTCAGCTTTTCAAAGGTATTTAGATAGCTAAAGCTGCAGATAGACCTCTAACCTGCTTACTCACTTTTGGAAAATCCCACTGGCCACCTAAATCTCTTTGAAAATCTGGCCCTAAATGTGTAACTTCAATGCACTGAATGGCTGAAACTATTGGCTAAATTCTGCTCTTGCTGGATGTATTCCATTTTTTCCATTCCCTTGACACAATTAAATTACTCCAGATTTAGCCCACTGGAACTGAGGACAAAAACTGGCCCTGTGTCTTTGAAACTGCATTAAAAGTGATGCATCAGTTAGGTATATAGACTGATCCACCATATTTTTACTTTAATATGATGGATCAGTCTAAATACCTAGCCGTATGCTTAAGCTACAGCTGACTTGAAAATAAAACAGGATATTTTATTAGCCATCAATCCCCTTCTCCTTTTGCCATTCCCCATGGCACAAGATTTGCAGACAATGATCATTTTTTTGTTTTTTAATCAGGACATAATTCTTCATACATTAAATTAGAAGGAAGCCCAGACTGAAACCCTGGATTTGAACAGCCCCAAAACTTTTTGGAAGTTTGGCTCTTGACCTGACTGGGCCTCTCCCGTATTAAAATAACTGTCTCAGTTAAAACTCTGGCTCTGGACTTCGGGGAACTGCAGAGCCAGGGCTGAACCTTGTGGCTGAGGCTCATCTCGACATTAAACTCTGAGGATTTGAATCCTTGGTTCCCTATTTTTAATTCAACTCTCTCTTCCCTGTGAACCCAAAAGCACTTTTAAAAACGCCTTTACTAATGTCCAATGCACTTCCCTGGCAAAGTGAGAGGTGAGTGCCTGGTCAGCAGCTCAGACAGGATTTGCTGATGTCTCCAGTTTATCCTGTGGTGTCGCAGTCATTCATTTCGAAGGGAAATCTCCTTGGAAGAATGAGGAAACTCACTTAAAGAACTAAAGTAAATTGGTAACTGCAAAATAGAATCATAGAATATCAGGGTTGGAAGGTACCTCAGGAGGTCATCTAGTCCAACCCCCTGCTCAAAGCAGGGCCAATCCCCAACTAAATCATCCTAGCCAGGGCTTTGTTAAGCCTGACCTTAAAAACCTCCAAGGAAGGAGAATCCACCATCTCCCTAGGTAACCCATTCCAGTGCTTCACCACCCTCCTAGTGAAAAAGTTTTTTCCTAATATCCAACCTAAACCTCCCCCACTTGAGACCATTACTCCTTGTTCTGTCATCTGGTACCACTGAGAACAGTCTAGATCCATCCTCTTTGGAACCCCCCTTCAGGTAGTTGAAAGCAGCTATCAAATCCCCCCTTATTCTTCTCTTCTGCAGACTAAACAATCCCAGTTCCCTCAACCTCTCCTCATAAGTCATGTGCTCCAGCCCCCTAATCATTTTTGTTGCCCTCTGCTGGACTCTTTCCAATTTTTCCACATCCTTCTTGTAGTGTGGGGCCCAAAGCTGGACATAGTACTCCAGATGAGGCCTCACCAATGCCGAATAGAGGGGAATGATCACGTTCCTCGATCTGCTGGCAATGCCCCTACTTATACAGCCCAAAATGCCATTAGCCTTCTTGGCAACAAGGGCACACTATTGACTCATATCCAGCTTCTCATCCACTGTAACCCCTAGGTCCTTTTCTGCAGAACTGCTGCCTAGCCATTCGGTCCCTAGTCTGTACCAGTGCATGGGATTCTTCCGTCCTAAGTGCAGGACTCTGCACTTGTTTTTGTTGAACCTCATCAGATTTCTTTTGGCCCAATCCTCTAATTTGTCTAGGTCCCTCTGTATCCTATCCCTACCCTCTATGTATCTACCACTCCTCCCAGTTTCATGTCATCTGCAAACTTGCTGAGGGTGGAGTCTGTGCCATCCTCCAGATCGTTAATGAAGATATTGAACAAAACCGGCCCCAGGACCGACCCTTGGGGCACTTCGCTTGATACCGGCTGCCAACTAGACATGGAGCCATTGATCACTACCCGTTGAGTCCAACGATCTATCCAGCTTTCTATCCACCTTATAGTCCATTCATCCAGCCCATACTTCTTTAACTTGACGGCAAGAATACTGTGGGAGACCGTATCAAAAGCTTTGCTAAAGCATAAATGTTTATGAATTAAGGACATTAAAAATGAGTAGTGTATTTGTTTATGCATCTATACACACACACACACACACACACACACACACACACACACACACACACACA